TTGTTCAAGAGACATTCAAAGTGTTTCCGCCAGATCTGCATTATGTCTGCAGTCTGTGTGCAGGTAGCTACTGAATTGCCATCGATCAGCGTCCTCAGCGGCTCCAATCTCGGTCCATACACCGCCTTCATGGAGTCAAAGAATTTCTTGTGCTGGCGGCGTTCGGCGTAGCATTCCATCTGCTTCACCTTCTCCGTCCACCATGCATTTTTAATGTGACGGAGCTCATGGGTTAGTCGCCGTCGAATTTTGCGAATCTGACGCTTCTTCCCCAAGTCACTGGGATCTGCCACATGTGCAGCGAATGCTGCATCCTTCTCCGACACCAATGTGCCAATCGTCGCAGTGTTGCCATCAAACCAATCAGGTCGCTTACAGTTTGCGCGGACGATGGTCTGCTCGGCAGCAACCGTCACCTGGTCGCCAATGTAGTGCCAAAGGTTGCCCACTGTGGTTGTGCATACCACATCACACAGGCGTGCAAAGACCGAATTCTTCAGTTACATCCACTTCTCCACATTACCTAGGGAAGGAACGTTATATTTCCGCAGTTTCAAGGCAGGAGGGTAATACATAGATTTGCGAAAAGATATGTACAGTTTGGTCCGCCTCAATTTGTGATCAGTGCCACACTCAGCTCCACGCAGTACACGTGTCATGCGCACTTCACCCAAGACGCTGACGTACGATGACATAGTCGAGCAGGTGAGCGTGACCACTCCGTGGGTGCGTCCAAGTTGCCATATCACTCGCACTCAGTGCAAACCGAGTGTTTGTGATCGTCAGTCCGTGAGTGGCACACAGTGAGAGCAGCCTGTCACCGTTCGCATTCGCTGAAACAATGCCATGCGGACCGATAACATCTGTCCACATGGATGCATCATGCCCAGCGCACGCGTTGAAATCACCCAGCAGAAATAGTCGGTCGCTCCTCGGCACAGATCGTAACACGGAGGATAACTGAGTGTATAATTCAGCACGCGTGTCATCAGAATAACACATAGTCGGACCGTACGTGCATACGAAAATGGCAAACTTATCTCTCCCGAGTGGTTGGCGAACAGTCATCAGTCGTGCACTGATGCTAGTCGGCTCGCGTACCAGCTGGCCATGGAGGCGATCGGATATTGCAAATCCGACCCCATCTTCACGTGGTGCTGAGGTGGCGTTTCCAACTCCGTAGAACGTACACCCAGCACCAGCTTCATGCAACTTCCCTTGCTCAGCATGCCGGGTCTCGTTGAAAGCTGCAATATGGATGTTTAGCGTGCCAGTTCCATCGCAACCAATGCAGTGCGTCGTGCAGAGCTCTCACTCGAATTTCGGTAAAGTATTGTGCGCACATTCCAACAGCCGATGTTGATTGCTTTGCGCGCAGTCGTACGATTGCATTGGTGGGAAATCGCACACGAGGTGTTGGTTGTGCTTCGGAGGTTTGCTTGAAGGACTCCGCCCGGAGCCTTTGACTCAATAGCCTGACCCACAAGGCAGTGGGGAGCAGATGCAGCTAGGGAATGTGAATGCAGAGACAGATTAGCATTTGCGTGAGGTCCCTCACACACAGCCTTTGAGGTTCAGTAACGATTCATATGTCTTTTGCGACCGTAGTAAGATACGCAACTGCGACTACGGCCAGACGCAGGAGAGTTTTGGCGGGTTTGCACCAATTTTGACCAGCGACTGACTGGCTTGAGGCGGGAAGCAGCAAATCATTGAACACCCGGAGGTGCCCTCCCATCGTCAGAGACAATGCGCGGCGCTCGTGCTCTACGCCAATCGAGCGGTGAGCTCATAAGCTGTGGACTCGTTTCCCATAGCTAGGTTTTACGGGAAGAGAGCCATCGACTATTTCCTAACCTCCGAAGAGGATGGACTAGGATACTGGCAGGGCGCCCACTCCTGACAGGAGAACGATTCGGGTTCTCAGCGAATGCATTCGATTAAATGTACACTCGAAAGGCAGCGGGTCTTGCACATGCTCAGTTCATATACTCATGCGGATTGGTGTCCTGGATCTTAGCAGGGAGAAGGGCGAAACCCAACTCCCACCCAGCGGTCGCCAGGAGGAGGCGTCTAGGAGGTGAGCCCATGACACAACAGCAGCAGTTAGTAGGCCATTTGTCAGGATCTAGCCACCGCCAGCCTCAGCGCACCACAGATTCTTCCGCGATATATATATATATATATATATATATATATATATATATATATATATATATATATATATATATATATATGTAAGCAGACTCAAAGTGCCGCTCTATCAACAGAGTGAAACGCGGCTCGTTGTGTTGACATAGCACTTCCTACCATTGCGAAAATCCGATGCAGACGCTTCTGTCGAAACGGGACAACGTGTCAAAATACTACGAGTTCGTTCAATCGTTACTGAAAGACAGTGGCGGTCCGCTGATAAGCGGCTTAGCCCCTATATTCGAAATTATAAGGTGAAATGAGGAGGTGCCTTAAGATGGACGTTGGTAACCGTCGTACCCGTCTCAAATATGCTGAAAGGCTGTAACCTCAACGTCACTATCTCCTAGCTACTCCCTTGTACCTCCCAGTGATCCACTGGTCGCAAAGAATAAGAAGAAAGACAGATCGAGCTTCGATTGGTTAATGGGTATAATGACAAATAAAAGCACACTTGATCGCTTGTTGGAACAATGGCATATCACGAGAGAGATCTCGAGTTTAGCCACCAGTAAATGGCGTATAAAATGGACTTATGAGAGTTAAACGCAGCGAGTCAAGAAATCAGTGTCTAATCGAGGTGGCTATGCGATTGGTCTGGCCATGGTGTAGTTGTACTGGCCTGGGGCCATTTCCGTCGACATAGTTGTGGTTTTAATAGCCTGATGACGAAACACTGAAAGCAAGCTTGTTCACTACCTCTTGTTTCTTATGTCGCCTCCGGGAATTATTTCTACATTGCGTCTACCCGGGGCGCTAACTTCTAATGGCGTGCCGAATAAATCCATAGCTATTCTGAACTCCATGTAGAGTGACTCTCAGGGTTCTGTGGAAAAATGATAACGACACCAAGCCGGTAGCGTCGTACTGCCACTAACAGTCACGTGCGGGCTTTGGATGCTGCGAAGTTGCCCCCACCCGCGCAAACTCAAACTGATGACCTGTGGATTACAAGCCTACAATACTCGGTCACCGACCGGCAATGTAGCCTACGGGAAGTGTCTCCAAAGAACTCAAACGACAAGTGAGATATGTCAACGTCACTTTAATTCTCCGCTCGACTCTTAACAGCGTAATGAAAAAGAACACGGGCAGCTCCGCCATTTCTGCGTCGCAGTGCTACCTGCTGACTGGTTGGAAACCTCAGCTTATGCAGACGACAGAGCTCTCCGGGCACCCGAAGGCATAGAGCTTCACGCCTAGGTACGAACATCACACCCTCAAAACACAAGCTATTACAGAAGGAATGGGCTGGTTTCGTTTGCGCTGTCTAGATGGTTGACATTCAAGCCACCACATATATAGATAAGACCCGAGTGGTTAGGGGAAGGTTCAAACCGTCAATGGAGATGTGAACGCCTCAACTATGAACAAGATGTACCACACTGCAACACAATCACTGTGTCTTTGTGGCAACCATATAGGAAGACCGAACTGTGTGCTCAAACAATATCCCTGTTGTTCGGTAAGACTATCGAGTGGGCGACCGTAGCTACACTAGCTGCTGTATGCCGCCACATCCGGCCGTCTTGTGAAGTCCTAACACCTAGGCTGCTCATGCCACGTTTCTCGGACGCCTGCTGGCAATCTGCCTTGGCGTGTTGTCCCGCAACAATGCGACTGGCTAGGTGAAACGCTGAGATGGCCAGTTAATAAGGTGACAGAAGAGCGGGAACAAACACATAGATAAGCCGGCCGGGTTGCTGTGGATTGTATTCATGAACAGGGTCCATGATAGTTCGCAGCAGCCGCTGGACACGCAGATATCACGCAGTCACGGGCATGACACAATCAAGTCGGTTCTAGTGACCACTCTTTCTCATTCAAATCATCCAAAAATTTGCCCCGTTGCATTGCATTCTTTTTCAATCATCAATCGGATATCACAAGATCGGTGAATCAATATGTCATGCCAATTATGGATCCGGATGAAGAAGTCGCGTATGCAACCAAGAAATTAAAAAGCATGAAACTGAACCTTATAATGACGCTGAGCACAACAGTTGCCTTCTATTCTTGGACAAACAGACCACACAGGTGGTTGGATCGAGACATCAGCCTACCGAAATGCAACTTGGACAGGTCTTTTGAAACACCGAGTTTGCTATATAAACTTGAACAGGACAATAAGAAAACGCATGTTGTAAGGTGGTACCATTTCGCGCCTTCTGTTCATTTGCAATCGAGCAACTCCTGTTCTTCTAAGGTTGAATAGGCATAATACACGAATTAAAGAAACGCAAGCAGCTCACGGTGTTCTCAAACCATAACAAATTGTTGAAGTTTAGCGCTAAGCTTGTAAAAGCGAAGTCAGAGAAAAGAGATCACTAGGCAGCAACACCACTTCTGCTAAAAAGCAATAAATTAAATCGAAAGGTCACATGTAAGTGAAAGTAAAAGGTGGTTACAAGCTGAGGACATAATACGAACTCCAAGGAAGTTTAAGCGTAACAAACAGTTACTTCTGAATTCACAGGGTTGGACAATGCTAATTTATGGCCATTGCACCGACAAACTTAAGGTATGAGCAGATGGTAAGAACAGATGGGGAGAATCGACACAAGCGCCACGCTCACCACTACAGGACTACCAACAGTCGCGTGGGATCTGGGGGTGCCTTAGGTCGCCTGCGTCTACGCAGACTAGAACAAGTTGTTTTAGGGTTGTAACCCAGAAGCTCGAACTGATAGACTACCGGATGGCACAAAAAGATGTACGTCTTCTGATTTTCTAATTGGGACTAAAACAAGATATGGAAGAATAGTAGCAGCAGATTTGACACACCACAATCAAGATAAGGGACGTACTTTGGCCCCGAACACTGGCATTTGAAGCAAAGCCGATTTGAGAGACTGCGTGTCCAAAAGCAACTGCTCCGCGCCAAACGTGTTCAAGGGTTTGCAGCGATAAAGGGAGGCAATAAACCGAGAGATGAGTGCGCCGGCAAATTTGATACAAATCTGAGTGAACGTTGCACTGATGAAGGAAAGCAAAGAGTATACGTGCCCGTTTGAATAAACTTGATGAATAGTGTTTAGTTGAAAATCCGAAAAAGGGTCTAGCTCAAGCAGATCAAGTAACCGAGCAACTAGACGCGTACTCATTCAGATATTCGGATAGCAGGGATGTACTTATACAGTAGATGATGAAGTAATATCGAAAGCAGTGAGTGGTCACTAGCGATTTGTCTCTTAATTTGTTCAACCTGCGCTGCCTATTTCCTCTTTCTACACTGCGGTTAAGGGCAAGTTACACATGGTTCTTCTCATCGATCATTTTGATGTTGGTTCATACCATCGAGTCACTGTCAGCCCTTAACAGGTTGATACTCATCTCTCGCTTGGTGCATCTGTCAACCCATCCTAGGCGATACCTTGGGTAACAATAAAACTGTGTAGCGCGACCCATCACAACGCTCTATCGTAGTGCCAGCATTTGCGTGTCCGTTGATCGATATGCATAAACTTCACTGGTTACTTTTGAACCCCTATTCACCATCATCACTGTTTTGTGCTCCAGGGAAATCGCTGTCTCACGGACAACGCATCATTGATACGAGCCGGGTGCCGGTTGGTCGGCGTTTGCCGGATGACCTTCGCATCAAATCTACTTTACTTACCTGGTTCATTTCACGTCAGCTGGGCGAATATCGCGAACTCTTCGATCCAACGCAAACCGCCGCTTGGATTGACAAGGTCGACCACCGCTACGCATGGTTGCGGTCCAATCTACCCACTATCGAACGAAAATTTCAGACTATCTTTCCTCCGGGTTGGCACGTAACAGAAGAGTGAGTGTGCGTTGTCTTTCGCTTGTTTTGTTTCGCTTCGCTCTGTTTACCCGTCGTTTGTTGCTTATTATTTGTTCTGTTCCCTGTTAAACAGTTACACAGGGGCGTACATCTTTATGTGGGCTGCACTCAGAATTCTCGCATACTCCCTCTGCCCACTGATCAGAAACTGCAACCGAACCAACACTAGCTGCTGACAGCACATCTGCTTGAGGTTTCTGCCATGTTTATGGTATCATCACATTTCCGAATTGCTGCACGGTTTATTGTCTACACAGTGTTACCGATGTTAGGTTTCGATCGCCATCGGGTATGTTAGCCTCTCATAAAACTGAGCTATGTCCCAGTGTGAGACATGTTACTTGAATACTACAGCGCCGCCCACTAGATGAAAAGCACAGAAGTGTAGGGCTAAGGTACGAGTCGAACTGAAAATGTACAGTGTGGTCTAAATGTGTTTACTCGTGAAATGCTTCAGAGAAGCAATATTTGATCTGGATAGGATGAGGGAATCTCGTTTTACGCTACGTCGTGGTCAAAATCGACGAATTTACCCCCCTCAACATCACCTTTGACAAGTATAGCACTGATGTGCTATAGGTGACCGATCTGTAGTACCCAACTTTGGCAGCGGTTGATGTGCGCAACATGCTTTCATTGGAAACTCATCGATGTTAAATTTCAGTGTGCCAGGGGCTTTCTTGTGTGTTATGATGGAATAGCAGGCTTCGGAAATGCCATCATTAAGCGGACAATTTCAATAGAGAAGTGGACCCACGGCATCCAACGCGCTTCGGAAGAAAAAAGTAAGTAGTGAGGTGGAACGCCAAGAAATCCAGCGAATGAAGCAGATCGTTCGCACAATTGGCGCAGCCAACATTTCCTGGAGAAACCCAATATGTTCTACATGAACCCGGCTTCCCATAAAAGTAATCAGCCTACGACGCCACCAAGTGGTTTGATTGAAATGCAAATGCGGGCAAAGTTGCAGAAAGTAGGTAGATATGAGGACAAATGAAAGCGGAGCATATAGGGAACGGAGAGAAGGTGCGGAGTTTTCTTCCGGCGGTAATCAGTTAGTACAAGATAGAATTGTGTTCATTTGTGACCAAATCGCAATGAAGAATGGCGGTTAGAAAACACTGCACTCCATGATACGTTTCGATTTTATTTAATCTCATCAGATAGATATAGCAAGCATCGAACCAGGGACCATTGGGATGCTAGTCGTGACCGCTACTCCTTAGCCACCTGGTCAAGACGGACATCGCTTAGCACAACGGTTAATGACTGAGTAGAGCGCATTTTGTAGTACACATTGTGTATATAAAGAACTCACTGTGACCCGGTGGCTTAGGGGTAGCGGCCGTAACTAACATCCCGATGATCCAATGAGGCCAAATTAAATCGAAACCCATCATGGAGTGCAGCGTTTTAATCTTTCTCACAGTGATATCAATAGCAAGGTTGTGATCGATCAGATTCTCATCGATTAATTTAACCGTTTCTATCAACGGAAAATGCTTAAAGAATAAGGCCACGTCGAAGGAAATCACCGTTTAGGTCTTCTAACTGAGTAACGAATTCAGATGTTCTCCTGAACGGTATAAACTGACAGCCGGTTAGGGAGCAGCTCGATAAAGTGCTGGTGCTTGGTCACAGTAGACAACTAGGTGCAAATCCGAAGGAAAAGATAGGCAGCGGCCAAATGCCCCCTACAGCCCCGCGACAAATATGGATGCAACTAAAAGAGTCATCATCATCATTATACACGTTAGCTAGAGGTGTAAAACACCTCAGCTACTGTGTCGCAATATATAAAAGAAAATAAATACAACAGTTGCATGCCAGCTGAGCTACCAGCAACGGATGGGCATCGTTCCGGAAAGCTACCAGCCGGCTACTAGGCAACAAAAATTATTATGTAAAATTATATTATGTTACGAACTGAGATTGTGGTTAGAGGGGGAGGTTAAAAGGGATGGGGAGGGAAAAGGAACGCATAGAAGGAACGCCACTGAGGTCGGCTACTAGCCATAAAAACAAGTGTGTCTAACCAAACGTGTTCATCGTCCTTTGGACCCCAACCAGGGAGCCGTGACGCTAAAACTGATGCCAGCTTCGAATTGAGAGCCTTCATTCCTCTCGACCAAGTCATCGCCTGGCCATATCTACTCTTCTTCCCTCCACACCCCGGTAAGCAAACAACGCACGTAGCGGGAGTCGGTGGGCTGGCATGTTTAACACGTGGCCGAGCCATCGGAGCCTAGTGCATGAAATAACGGTGCTAAGCGGTTCACTTGCTTTTCCTGTGCCGTAAACAAGGCGTCGAACACGCTCGTTGCTCACGCGGTGTTCACACCAGATGTCAGCCAAAGTACGAAGGCACCGATGGTCGAACGTAACTAGCCTCTTTATGTCTGCTGATCTAAGTTACCACGTTTCACAACTGTACAGTAGGGTCGAACGTACCGCTGCATTGTACACTCTAACCTTCAGGGCGAGAGTGATATCGCGCCGCTGCCATACGTGGCGAAGACCAACAAAATCACCATGAGCTTTTGCTATACGGTTCGTGATCTCATCTTCGATCCCAAGGGTGCTGATACAACTTCCAAGGTAGTTAAATTGCTGAAAGCGCAGAAGGCGACTCTTGGAGGAAAGCTTTGCACTTCGATGGTGCAACGCAAAGTTCAAAGCGGCTGGCAGGCAGGGGTAATCTGTGTAGTGCAACTTGGCACGCCTGGGAGCTGTCACAGATCAGGGCAATGTCGTCAGCATACTCCAAGTCAAGAAGTCGTTCTCCTGGGAACAGATACACATCTACGTCGTGTCCTGTAGACACAATCTCCATGACTTCGTCAATAGCAAAGCTAAAGAGGAAAGATGGCAGCGGGCATCAATGTCTCACACCGCTAATGATATTGAAGGGCGGCGACAGCTTGCCATAAGCTCTCACTCTGCCCGTGCTACGCGCGTATAATGCTCGAATAATATTTACATATTTCTCGGGCACACCTTTCCTGAGTAGACAGTCACGAAGGGCACACCGATCAACCGAATCGAAGGCAGCTTTGATGTCGAGGAACACGAATACGGTGGGCTGACAATATGTGTGACGGTGCTCCAACAATTGACGCAAAGTGAAGATGTGGTCAATGCAGCCACGACCCAGACGAAACCCGGCGCGCTCCACACGAATCTGGATTACACAAGTAAGAGAGTACTTAACTATTAAGAAAATTAAAGAACTGTTTCGTATCAGCTACACGGACGAATGATTGTATGAGAACGGATGTGAGAATATCTAAGTACTTGCAGAACTCGCAATATAAATGTACAGAAAACATGGCTGGAAGGGCTTGTCGACACAATGTGAAATACAGCGTTCTCTTATCATGAGTTTCTCTTGCTAGATAACTTAAATTTTTCCCTCATTCATTCTTCCTAATGTGTCACATCCTTCGGTGTTACTCCAGATGATGACCCAGCAAAGGTTAATGAAATGATTGGTACATCGATAGGTTGGATAAATGAGATCTATCTCTTAGTTTCTTAGTCGATACTGTTATATACTTCGTGTTACTCAGATTGATGGCCCGTTGGTGACCTATGAAAACATGGGCATATCGATGAGTTGGATAGATAGGATTTATCTTCGATATTTTCTTCATCTACACTACTACTTACTGTGCTCTTACTGATGGTATTAGAAAAACATGCGCAGATTGCTGAGTTGGATAAGCAAGCTTTTACCATAGCCATCATAGAGTGCTTCCATTCTATTACACAGCTGAAAGGCGTCTGCAAAACATAGACCTACTGAAGGAGTGAATGATTGATGGTCGCAACTAACACACCAAATTTATGTACGCAATTCCATTTACCCTGTGTTACCACATCTTACTTCGTTATGTGAGGTGCGTCGTTAATTCTAATTGATATGTTTCATGATGGATGCAGTTCTTAGTTTAATCGTTTGTCGTGTCATCATGTCTGCTCACACAATTCCACAATTTATACAGTGTTGTTATATACCAATGTTATGAATATTTAAATCACATTATCCATGTAGATATTGTCACTCACCTCCTAAAACGTTGTTATTTTGCTTTCTTTTCCCAACCATCCGCCTAAAGATATCAGAACGTCTTGCAACTTTTGTAGATTCTGACGAATTTCAAAACGAAATTAATGACGCAAGAAGCAATGGAATTGGAATCGCAAGTACTTTTGTATAACAGTTGGTAAAATCGCTATGCATTCGCTTGTACCTTATGATCGGACCAGCTTATCTAGGCCGTGCCTCTTCTAGTTGAAAATATGATTGGCGGTATCTGGTTCCGGATTTGACTGTCGCTGTTGCCTCCACGGGAACAGCCACAGGACGCATGCGCCTACAGAGGGACCATGGATGGCTTGCGCTGCATCACTCACAGCTCTATCCATACAACCGATATACAGTGAAAACCCGAAAGAATAAGACCGGGAGGCATGTGGATGGGAGCCAGGTTCCATCAACGGAGCCGGCCCACACTCCTTCAACATGCACAGCAGCAGCATTCCTGTCTATCTATGTAGGGAATCATGCGTACCAGACGTACACAAGGCGGTGGCTGGGTCGTAGTCCGCTTCACACTGGATGTAACCACTCTTTGAGCCTAGCACGGCTACGATGGCAGTGCACCCAGTCCTCCCGAACAACGATTCACTGTCTCCTGGAGCCAGTAATCGAGGTGGAGGGTGTTAGGCAGGTAGGCAACTTGTCAACATACACATCAAGCGCGGTCATACCGGGGATTTTAAACAACCAACATTGAACTTGAGGGAAAGCAAACACGCAAAATTGACACAGAAGATGCAGTAAAAGAACACAACTGAACAAATACAATAAAGTGGAATGAATTTAATCCAGATTAAAAAGACCTAGGTTAAGAGTAAGTTGGTTTAGCCCAACTGCGGTGAAGAAGCATCAGGAATGCAACATCCGCCCCAGTATGAGGCACAGATGAGAATATACCAATTAGAAAAGCACCACAGGAACGAGTCGATTTGCTGTTATGTCCGGAGACTACTAGTAAGAAAAACAGCAGCCATGACGAGCAGGACGGAGCAGCAGAATCAGGATAAAAGCTTCGAATTTCTTTCGCAACGATAGAATGATAAACAGGATGAAGCATATGCTGTTGAAACGACAATAAGACATCGGCATGATCGCCAGATGCCCAGAAGAGAGACAGATAGAGTAAACACTACCCTGGAAACATTATTTTAACGAAAAAACGAATCGGACTACACAAGTTTACGTAAACAATCCAGCTCCTTTCCAGAAAATCCAAAACCTCTGTGTGACAAAAGAAGCACCAGTTTGCGGATTGAATGAGGCATAAACTGCCATTTTTTGGAGGACGGGTATTTTTGAACTGGATAATTAGTTAACTGCGATTTGTAATCGACTTGTACAACTTCGTATCCAATCCTGCAACAAGCTTTTGCAAGGAGACCGCAGACCTCTGATTTTTACTAAGGTAAAAACTTTGTGAGGACCGAAGTCGTTTTTGGTCAGAATTGAGTGGAAATCGGCATCAAACAGAGCTTTGAGACCGTTGCTGTAGGGATGATGGTACACAAATGAAAAAAGACGGGTCATGATATGAACGTGATTTTGAAGACGAATGAAGATGACCTTTAAGGTAGAAAAAAATTCGGGTGGATGGCTGACGATGGTATGGTCAAAAGAAGAACATCACGTCAAAAGTACAAAGATGAATTAGCGAAGCGGTACAAAAAGCGACTGAAAGGTAAATGTTGAGTATCGACGGGTGGAATCTCGACGATTAGTGTACTTTGCTGAGTACGGTTTGTGTGTGTGTACCAGTTGCCTTGAGTCAACAAGCTGTCAAGATTCGCATGAAAAACCAAACTGGACGAACAACTGAGTGCGTCTATTGGAGTAAGTGTTCACACATTTCGTGGCTGTTCCGATTCAATGGCAAAAGCTACCGCAACATTGGTGGCAATGTATCGAAGGTTTTTTCACGTCAAGAGAATCGAGCCGTAAAAAATGTGCGTTAATCAGTGCCAAACAACTATCCACGCGTGATAAACTTAGTACATCTTATCCCTATCAGAGCACAGAATGATATACCTAACTAGCTTGCCCGGTTTAAGGTAGTGCTGACCAGTACTATCCATGGATTGTTAAACGCCGCATGACCCATGAGTGTAGAAAGAAAATATTTGTAAATCGAGTATATATATATATATATATATATAGTCGATTCCGGTTAATAGGACCAGCCGCTTATTCGGGCCAAATTCTGAAGAACCGAAACGAATCCTATTACGCTAGCCTAATTTTAGCCGCTTATTAGGACCGGAATTCCGCTTAATCGGACCAGACGATAGAAGGTGGCAGGTAACAGAGGTGCTAAAAGCAAGTACTGTGCCTGGATGTCTGGACTAAACCCACAGTTCATATGTCGGGCAAGAAAGCGTATCATTCAGTTGCGGGCCGCAATGCGGACTCAGGGCACGGAAAGTGATCGCGGACACACAGGTCCGGCAAATCATAGGACAGCAGGTGGCTAGGTCAACCATAGAAATACCCGGGAGACAGACTCGAGTTCACCTCAGTGAACTGTGCGTGTCTTGTTGCATGTTAAGAAAATGCCACGACGGAACTTGACGTTAGCTGAGAAGATTCGTTTCCTAGATCAGATCAAGGAACAGGGACCAACGACTAGTCAGCGTCGATTGGTGGAAATTAACTGCTTGGCAAAATCTACAATATCGTGCCTGATAAAACAAGAGAAAGATCTGCGAGAAGAATGGGCACAATGTGAAGGATGACGAGGTACTTCCCAAAAACGGAAGCGTGAAGGCAAGGATCCAGACGTCGATGAGGCACTTAATGATTGGTTTGCCTTTGTTACTGGACGAGCTGTGCGAGTAAGTGGCCCAATGTTAAAGTACAAAGCAGAAGAACTCACTAAAATGCCGGGCCACGAAGATTTTATAGCTACGGACGGCTGGTTGTCTCGATGGAAATCTAGACATGATGTAAAATTTAAGAAAGCACATGGTGAGAAAGAAAGTGCCAATAGCGCTCGAGCTGAAGAATGGAAATCAACAAAACTACCAGAGCTTCTTGAAAAAATTTCCAGCAGATGACATCTATAATGCTGATGAAACCGGGTTGTACTATAGGGCTACACCGGACGGCTCCTTAAGTTACAAACATGTTACTCTCTCTGGCTGCAAAAAATCAATGGATCGCGTAACGGTCTTGTGCTGCTCAAACATGTCCGGAACAGACAAGAGGAAGTTGTTGGTTATAGGAAAATGTGCCAAGCCCCGCTGCTTTAACTCAGAATGGACACTTTACCAGTTGTGTATCGTGCGAACAGAAATGCATGGATGAGCTCTACACTTTTTAAAGAATGGGTGAAGGATTGGGACACAGAGCTACAACGCCAGTCGAGAAAGGTGTTATTACTTCTCGACAATTGTGCAGCACATCCAAATTTGGATTTCTTGAAGAATATCCAGATGGAATTTCTGCCTCCCAAGACCACATCTTTGATACAGGCAATGGACATGGGCATCATAAAAAAATTTGAAGACCTTTAATCGTTCAAGGTTGGTGAATTAAATCCTTGAATCAATTGAGGAAGGCTTGCTGACCTCATCCTCGACGGTCGGAGAAATCAGTGCAAAGGTCAACATTTTGCAAGCCGTTACATTCGTGGCCGAAAGTTGGCGAAAAATGAGCAGTGCGACAATTCGGAACCGTTTTTCTCACTGTGGCTTTAAGCATATTGTCTCGGAGATGGATGTGGATATGGTGATTGTAAATGAAAATGACGGCGAGAATGTGGAGTTGAAACAAGTTGAAAATTACGGAGAATTTTTGTCAATCGACAACGAACTTCAACTCTATGATGGAAATGAAGAATGCGATGCTGCCATTGTTGCTCGAATAGCAGCAAAACACACGACAGCAACAGAAGACCATAGAAGTGATGGAGAGAACCCTAACGTGTTGATGCCAGTCACAAAACAGGATGCAAGGAAATGCATTGAAACATTGCACCGCTATTTCATGCAGGAAGGAAATGAAGGTAGTCCAATTACTGCGTTACATGTATGTGGTGATTTTGTGCGAATGCAGTCTGTTAAAAGAATGCGTCAAACCACACTGGATACGGTCTTCAAACGCTGAATGGAATTCGGTAATCCCTTTGTATAAAACTGTACTTCGCATGCTGAATATCTTGTAGGTCGTTACGAAGAATTTGTTTGTAAATTTCTTTTTCAGTGAACAATGTTCGTTATCAAAGCAGTTCTTTTTTGTGTGTTTGCTATAAGTATATGCCGCCAATACAGGTCATAATAGTAGTTTCCTATGTTATGTATAGCACGTCCCATCTTGTTACATCGGGTAACTTCGGTTAATCGGACCAGCCGCTTAATAGGACCAAAATGGTCTGGTCCCGATGTGGCCCGATTAACCGGAATCCACTATATATATATATATATATATATATATATATATATATATATATATATATATATATATATATATATATATCTTTGTAAGTCGAAGTCCCCTGCGGACTCTATTTAACTTCAGGCAATTCAACGAAATTCATGCTTATGGGTAGGGTAATAAGGCATCAGCACTACGCCTGTACGCAGTACCAACGCTTTGCTGTCGCACGACCACCACCGGTCACACTTGGGCTAAGGATACTACGAGGGTCCCCCGGTTCCTACTCAGGCCCGAACCCGCGCTCTCGGATTACAAGGCAGGCTCGTGATCCTTACGCATACCGTGCCGGGTTAGGGTAACCGGATGACAACATTAAGGCAGAAGCACCGGTGCAAGCGTAGTGACAAGAGGAAGTGGGAATAGGACGTACCGCACACTGTAGAGAACATCACGAATGAGGGGAAGTTGGGAACGCAAGTGTTTCACAATCTCAGTCACGTAGACACTTTGGTCACCAACTTGGGCCACATTGTTCCATGGTAAACGTGCCATGGCTGCCAGCTGAGGTTCAGCTACAGATTCCAAATCGGACACTAATCGGTGGACGCACACAGACCGACATGCAGCAAAGGCATCCACCTCGGATGCGAAGGAAATTTTATAGTTCCAGCTAGGTGGTCTGACCTGGAAAAAAGTTGAAGTTGTGGACATGCTTCACAAGAATGTAACGGTGATAAAGGTATTGAGGTGCAAGTGGGAGTATACAATATAAGCCATTGTTGCTGCACAACCAATACAGAAGATAGATTTCAGAAGGAAATGTGGTATACAGTATGACAATGAAGGTTGTAGCGTGTGAACCGGTTCGCATCTGGGTAAAACTGTCCGCCTATGGCCTGGGGATAGGGAATTCTTTCAACTTCAACTTTTCATGATAAACCGAATATCAAACAGTGCGGGATAGACAGTCTATGGCTAACATATGCCATAAAATCTATACAGTCGCAGACAAAATTGCTTTTAGTATAATTACGCTTTCCATCGTTGAGTGGCGGCCGGCAACCGGAAGGATAAAGTGCCAGTTTTGTAACCCTAAGGTCATCGGTTCAAATCTGAGTAGCTGCAGACAACCTCGCGGTATCCACAATTCAAGCGCGACTGGTAGGGAAGCGCCGGTACCGCGCACCGGCGTACTGATAATGCCCACTGCCATCCATGAGTACTGCAACATCAAATATAGTGACATATACAAGGGTGATAAAAAAGCTCCAGGAAATCAGAAAACGTCATTCCCTAAAGGCCAGCTTAGTATTGAGTCCACCCCGAGGTTTCTGGAGCGTTGTAAACTGTCTCACCTCGAACCTCTGGTTTCGGTGACTTAAATAAAACGTGAGGCTCATGCGCCATCTGATGAACCAGAAGACATACTCCTAGCTGTCTACAGTAGAACTGCGGCAAAACCTAACTCGGAGACTTCGTAACAAGATTTAAAAACTATTTTCACCATAAACCAGAAAGGCTATCCGCTCCAAATTCTCCCTCGCGAGATATGCCGCCGTTAGGTTTAGTACAAATACATAAGCATTCCGCAATAAACATGAAGTTTCCTCAATCACCAAGAAATTCGCCAAAGCAGTTTTCATTTAGGGATAAAAACATATAACTGGTGGAAAACAGTTGCACGAGACTCAGCACCAACAAAAACCGGGCATTCCAGAATGTTACAGTAGCAGAAGCACTGAATGATCCAAAGTGTATCTAATGATTTATAACTGTCGCAGGAACAATCTCTCGCAAATCAGGGCGATGTACATAATAATAATAATAATAATAATAATAATAATAATAATAATAATGATTATAAGCTCGTCAGTAGGAGTCTGACAAGAAAAGCTCCGATACATCAATAAAGCGCTTGCGGAACTCGAATCGTCTCCGTTGGCTGGGTGATGTGCTTGGTCAACCTCACAACCAGCCAGCTTGTCTGGGTGGGTGTAATTTGTGGATACTGCGACATAGCGAGAGAGCATGAAGAAAGGAACTCGTCTGACTGTCTTGCTGGATGAAGGCCTAAGGTCGGTTAATTCAATAGCTGGATGCCTTACTGAATATGGTGCGGTGACAAAGCCAGAAGTGCCTTTGCATTTGCTCCCTCATTTCTGACTCTTAAGCATTCCATCCTACGCTTTTATTCGTGGTATGATCACGTCGAAGTAACATTAGCTCAACCATCAGTAGCATCAGTGGTTCGGTGAAGTAAGAGTAACTAGATCCACAATGACCAACCGAAACTGACAGAAGTAAACGGAATGGAAGTTTCGCATCTTATGAAGTTCGCAAACCAAGAGAATCACACCTTGCAACTAACCCACATAGGTCCTCAAGAGATGTCAAGTTAAAGTATGGGATAGGTAATTTGAGGGTCATTCTGAAGCACTCGTTGTGCGAATGGATTGTACCGCGTAATCTCTGGTGTGCAATCGGGACATTTTGCTGTCTTGGCACTTTCATCTATTGTGTCCCCAATTTTATCGCAGTCCCGCTCGCATACACTCATCCAATCAGGCTCGAAGGGCTCCTCCCAACGTTCATATATTTCGAAGTTATGCACCACGGATTACCCACCCCCTTTCACTATCAATTTTTGCGCTTTCTACTCCTAAAACGTGCGCATCAAATTCACTGCCCTTACATCCCAGATCACGAATTCCGGCCATTTCTGGAAGCTCATCTTAAGGGCACTTTAAGAACGCTGCGAACACACTTATCGGTGAATGTATAAGGCAATCACAGGCGTAGACATTCCATCTACGATCGCCGCCTTTTTCGGCCAAGTATCGCTCATATAGGAAGCCGTATACTACCCCAATTCTCGGCCAAGTTGTCCCCTCGGGCAACAGAATTAATCTGAACGGCAAAGGAGTTGCGCTGAGAGGCAAAAAAGTTGAGTAGTTACACAATTACTTTGAGTCTTGTGTGTGCCGCTCATTGGCGCAGGTGTGCGTGTATAGCACGGTGTCATCAGCCAATAGAACCTCAAACGCACTAACTCATATAGGTGCAGGTGGGTGGCTTCAGCTCCTAGCTGTTACAGTGTCGGTGGCCGATGCACCATGTGGGCCTGCGTTTCTCTGACTAAGGGAGCGATTCCTAGCAATTAGAACGAGAGTAGGGATTTGAAGGACGATTGGGTCGGTATAACGAACCACAGCCAAATATGTTTCCAGTGTGATTTTGAACGTGCAGTTCATCAAAACGCAATGGTTGGCTTGTATGTTCGGCACTCGAGGGAGGTGAAGAACGTCATCCTGAAAGCGTACGAGGAAGGAGACGATTGGAAGCAGGTCGCTTGATCACTGAATGTAAACGTGAAAACGTACCGCAACTGGATTCGGGCGTATGAATCGACGGAACCGGTGGGGCAGCACGGGAAGTCCGTCGCAGAGCACTAGGAGATAGCCAAGACGACTCTCTGGTGGAGTGGGTTTCTACTTAGCCTACGATTATCCTTGAACTACTTCGGTTGCGGTTGAAAGCGGAGTTCAAAATTTCAGTAATTAAAAGCACCGTCTCACAATACTTGGGTGGTAGGCTGATAACAATGAAGAAACTGCACACCATTCCAGAGTCCATGAACACGCTGGAGAACAAAAAGCGACGCAGGCCATTCGTTTTGCAGCTCATGGATTGCGAGCTGGAAGGCAACCGGTGTGGATTGATGAGACCAACTTCAACTTATTTTGCTCCCGCACTCGTGGCCACTCACGATGTGGTAGTCGGGCGCAGTGTACAGTGGCGAGCACCCTGGGACGGAATGTTCATTTTGTCGGTACCATGACAAACAACGGCTTGATAGCGTGTTCGGTTCTGAGAGGAAGTTACAACAAGCAAAAGTGCGCTCAGTGTCTGCGACAAGTGCTAGATACCAACGGAACAGGATTTGTAGAAAGGTATCTTTTGATTTGCGACAACGCACCCTATCACACGCACCTGGAGCAGGTTTTCCTTGAGGAACCGTATCGCTATTGCGCAGTACTCTTCAGCACTCAACCCCATCGAGGGAATCTGGAGCATAATAAAGGCTCATGTAAAACAGACAATGAGGGGACGGCACTCCGAGATGCTAATGGGGAACTCTGAAAGCGATCTGAATAGAAGCGAGTGGCGCATTCGTTTTTTGGAGCACGCGGTGTCGGAAGCACGGGCCTTAGTGACGCAGCAGCAGTACGAGCAAATGGTTCAGCATGTCAGTAAGAACTATGGAAGTGTTGTTTATTTGGCCGATCTGTAAAAGTCAGTTGGAAGTAAACTACCTGCTGTAAACGAGTGTTGTTCTTTCTTTATTATGATGACGAGTCAGAGTGCACTTTAAACACTGCTAGAAATAGCCGGTTCTCTATTCGGGGGAATATTATAGATTTCCGGTAAGTTGGTGCGTGTGATCGCGTCGCATACCCGTTCTAGTTGCCGCGTTGTAGAACAATCAGGTGAGAGCTTGACAAATAGATACCACTTTAACAAGGATGTGTGGCAAGCACTTATGTTCTACCGCCTGTCGTTGTTTGTGCTTGGAGAGCCAGTGGATAAGGATTTTGTGTAGGTCATAATAAAAAAGAAAATGGAACTAGGCAGATTTGACGGACATGGGTGCTGTGTGCGGCCGTTTGCCGGATTGCTTAACCAGTTATACCAACGCAGGCGGCTGGACGCTGCTTGCCTCTCGTGCAAAGATGATCAATGCGGAAAGGCAGAGCATGTAGGGAAAGCACAACTAATGCTTATCACGCTCTAGGGAAATATTTCCGGATGGGTATTTGCCAGTGGCGGACTGTATTCGAACACACCACAGGGTTTCGGAGAGAAGGTGCTTTGAAGCCGCAAATAAAATGTACTCGCTTCGGTGAATCACATTTACTCGTCGGGTTATAGCGGCTGCACCGTCATGAGTAGCTCCGCATGACGCAAACCGGTCCGTGCTTTCATATGCTATTTACAAGTGGAAGTTGCTATTCCGTTCCATCCCCGTTCTACGTAGGTAAATGATGCGGTTATAGCTGGACATCCGTTACAATCAGATCTCATGCGTGTTTTCGTCATCCTTCCACACACCTCAGGCTCCGTCCTCCATCGCCAGCTGTGACTACACCGTGCAGCTAACCACGAGATATAAATCAGGCGCACTCTCCATCCACCTCCGACTTCTATTAACTGGTTGTTATGAAAATGTCCAACCGCCTACCAAGTATCTGTATCGCCTTTCAGCCCCCTGGGTTTTTGACGACCCAAGGTATCCCCGGATACGGAAGCCTTGGGTACTCTCGGCATGACGCATGTTACACTGGGCGAGCGAGTCGCCTAAACTAGAGTTATTTGCGCGAAAATGAGCGGTCACTTTACGTCCTTAATTACAATCGGTTAATATTTCGCACAGTTTCCGGGCACGCATTCAACCAGGCGCATTTCATCAGGAACGTCATGTACATCACCGTTAACCAGGTAATGCAGCTCCGGCGTAAGCGGTTTGGTTTTCAGTGCACTAGGTTTGATTTCAGATTAGCGACTATCGATGAGTGAGCTATGGTGTCCTTACTGGACTCACAACACGTATTTAATGACGAGGGTTTGCATTCTGTAGACGAAGAGATGACTGATCCGCTTTGAATGCATACAGTAGTTTCGTTTGC